TCTGACACTGCAGGACTGGCGGCGCCATGACACTTCCGCACTGTCGTCGTCCTTCTGACTTCACGTGGGTCACACCTGCGCAGAAAGACATGCGCATGTTCATCGTTAACCGGCTCGATAATTGGTATAATGAACTTGCCTGTGGGTCATTTTGTTGTTTTCTGGATTATTTGTGTCTGTATATTACGTGTTAATAATAAAACAACAATAACGACTTGTAGCAGAAACTTGTATGCGTAATGCATCTGGGACAGTTTGTCCTTATGGGATCGTGTGAGCCTTTATGTCCTCTGGGGTCAGTGTGCACAGTGCAATGGATTCACACAATGCAGCGAGGCTAGGCTGATGCACACCACTCTCTATTAGATGAGTGATACCTCAAGCATGAGTTATATGTGCAGAGTTTATATACTGGGCTAATATAATGTGGATGCAATACAGTGCCAATTGATATTAACATACAGTACAATAACAATATACATGTTGCCATGTTAACAGTGTCATATTACATGTAAATGAGTTACATCATCAGGATACAAACTGTAATCCATTACAGTTGTCTTGTAGAATACATGGTTTTAAATTCTTATTATATTTGTTGTTGAGGTGATTCAAAAGTAACAGAAAGTAGTCAAATGATGTTAATATTGTGATACTTTGGATTAAGTTACTGGCTACAATTTTCAACAGGTAATTAGTAATTGTATTGGATTACATTTTTTAAAGTAACCCTCCCAACCCGACATATATATATGTGTAAAGAACACAATGCAATAGTCTTCCAATTTGACTATGAATGAGCAGAGTAACCTATTTTTAAACAGTATTCATAAAATAATTTACATAATCGAATCAGAATTCATTTTCTTAAAGATATTTTTGGGTGGGGGCTAATCTATTTATTACTATTGGTGTTTTCAACAGATATATATAGCTACATAACAGTCATGTACCTGTGATGACAAAAACACACATTCACCAATAAAATCACTAAATAGCAACATTTAAGCCAACACTGAAGCTATATCATTAGGACAACTATATAATATAGTTTAACATCACAACATCAACCTAATTTACCGATTTGTGGTGCCACAATAGATTTCTAAATTGTATAGAATTGTTTATCACTTAATTTATAAATGTGTGACGGTGTCAGTGTATAGGCCTACCTTGATTATTTTAGCGCCCAAGGCCGGACATACACGACAACCTGCTGGTGGCTGGTCCTGCTGATAATGCATTGACCTTGCGGGTATCGCTCCTGACATGCGGAGTGTGGGTTGTGATGAATAAATCCACACACATTCTGGAAAAATGTCAGAACAGGCTATGGTGTATGCATCCCTGAAATACAAGGGTCCTTTTTTAGGACATCACAAATAGGTTTTTTTTTTTTTTTGTAAATGGGGCTAAATTCTTAACGCACACCCAGCCGTCCCAGAATAAACTGTCTTTTCCCACAACTGGAGCTGAGAGGGTTATTTGGACAGAGGCAGGCCATCATGGCATGACTAATGATGGATGATTGCAGTTTAATTACACTCTGAGGGTATCACTTATCTTCGGCTGGCTGGAAATAAATGAAGCTTTTCAATATCACACACAGCCTGTGGAATTATGGCAATATATCTTTGTCATTTTTCAAATACAAATATTATGTGTTCTTGTGAGAGAGAGTGCAGTTCATCCCTTTGTTATCTGTCTTTATTCTGTGCCAATATCCATTGTTTTAGCAGCAGATTATAGCCATTAATCTGGTAAGGGTCCCTATAATCTCAAATGAAATCCTAAATGAAGTTGTCCTGTGAGGTTGAACGAGTACAGAAACATACCAGTGGAAATCTGCTTACTCTGGACTTACATGGTGGTATCCCTCGCCTCTGAAAGGGGCTGGGTGGGGGGGGGGGTGGAGAGAGATGGCCTGTGGAGTTAGTCCATATGGCATAACAGTTGGCACATGTATATTTTTGAGGTCTTGATGGTGCTCTATGCAATTTACTGGGGCATCACTCAGCATAATCTCTTTAGCCAGTGGAGCGTGTAAAAAAAATGTTCATTTTTCTCCCCCCCCCCTCACAGTCCTTGTGTGTCCATACAGTCTCCATATCTGAGAAGTGACATGTATGCAAGCAGCGAAGTGTTCAGTCTATATTAGTGAGTGTGGATTTTGTCCCTCGGGGCAGACTAACTGGCAAGTGATGTGAGATTGGCTGTCGAGAGCATGATGCTGAGGAGGCTGAGAGTCTCACTGTGGTCACACTCCAGTTGGATTTTTTTTTTTAGGTTTTTAATTCATCCTGTGTTGCTGCATGTGAGTCAAGTAAACATCATCCTCAGCGCCCAGAGCGAAAATGAGACTGGGAGGTGGGGGGGAGGTTAGAGCGTTTGTGTGACACAGAGATTGAGAGAGAAACAGAAGGAGAGAAAGAGAGAGTGAGAGAGAGAGAGAGAGAGAGAGAGAGAGAGAGAGAGAGGAGCCCGTGTGTTCGTTTCACCTCCTAATCAGTTTTCCTAGGGGATCTATCATCAACTGCAGCAGAGGAGGCAAGTGGAAAAGCGGAGAAGGAAGACAGTAGAATTCAGCCTGGCTATAATCTTCACCCATCACAAATCTGAGCCTCGCACAAGTAAGGAATTCTTTCAAATCAGCCGACTTATAGATGCTTGTTGTGCTGAGAAAATAAATCTACTGTATTGGACTCTCAGTGTATGAAGTTGTGGAGATCAGATTATCTTACCCTGTGATGGTGCGTTTGATTTGTGCACATAAAGTGAGATGAATACAGTAGTGGGGGTGTAAATGCACAAGTTTTATTTGCATGCTGTTCTGCTGATGTATATGTATGATGTATGTGTATGATGACATTTATACCCAACTTTGGGCATTTATCAAATCCCACCATGCCCATTTTACATGAGAGTGTGAAGACAATTCACACAGCAGCAATTGCTCATTTTCCCAAAATTGTAATGCTTGGTTTAATTGTGCAAGGGCGTACAGCGCATCAAACTGTATTAGTCATACAATATCTCTGTATAACAGCTTGTTTATTGGACTTCACACAATATTTCTTAGTGTTTCATACTGTATAATTGCAATTTCACCCCCTCTAGTTTAAAATGTACTGAGGAAATTGAGCCTTTTCTTCCTCCCTTGTGCAGATGTCTTTAAATCTGTTTTAAAGTCTTCTCCCTGGAAGGAAATAAAATGACTTTGAACCACAGAGTTGTTTATTCTGTGCCTTGCTCCATATGCATGAATGCAGGAGCTTCTTTCATGGTGCTGTCTCACAGAGATAACAGCATCTCTGTAGTGTAACTGAGCAGTAACAGTCCAATGTGCACATCTCTAGATAAATTAGGATTTATAATGTGAGTCCCTGTTATACTAATTAGTTAGACCCAGTTGCTTGATTAGGAACAACTAGCTATCAAAGCTAGTTTTTGCTGATTTATAAATGAGGGCGATGGGATTTGTGTGAATGGTATGGAAACCTGCTTTTGAACTGTGTTCACATGTATTCAACCCAAAAGTGGAACACACACAGAGACATGGCTCTTTGATGACTTGTCCTGTGAGAATCTCCCTCTTGCCCCAGTTTCCATCTCTGAAAAGACACCATGGTAAGAAATGAGAACAGCAGCTGGAAAACAGACGCGTGGAAACACACGTGCGTGATGAAACAGCTCTCTCCCCTTGCCCCCGTGTGAACGAGCTACCGCACGAATTTCACAGTTCACAGGCTTTAATGAGCTGCTGCAGCCTGTCCATCATACTGACTGGAGAACACCTTAACAGACCTCACAGTCAAACAATGACACTACAGCAGGCATCTGTAGGATCACACGGTCAACAAAATGAGCATGTAATGATTGTTTGCACTAAATAGCCTAGGTATTTTAGGCACATCTGTGATTTAGCATATGCTCAGTGTGAGAGCGATTTTAATAAGGGAAAGATGCAATGTGCCCTGCTGGTGTTGAGATGCTGGGATACCAGGAAGCAATACTGGAGGAGATGATTAGAATAACAAATTCAAGGTGGATGAAAAGTAGAAGCAGCCTATGGAGGAATAGATGTGCACTAAGTCTCGGGGCAAAAGAAGATGACCATTGTGCGCCCACTGCAGAGACCTACCATCAGTTTATGAGAGGGAAGGTGACAGTTAATCAAACACAAACACAGGCTGACCAACAGATTGCCCTCAGCCCGGCACTCAGGGCCATGTGCAGCCGCCTGGATCGAACCATTAATGGGCAACAACGGAAATATGATCATACATCACCAGCAGCTGATACCTACTTAAACCTCCCCTACTTCTGCCCAAACAATAGAAAAGCTTCTGTAAGATTTCCCTCGAGCTGCAAGCAGTTCTCTTGCTCAGCTGTTTTGAAAATGGCATGCACTTCAGCAAGGCGGCATAAGTGTTTAAAAAGTTGCTTTTTCGTTTAAATTGTTGCTGACGGATGCAGCAATGTTTTTGTTTGTGACCCCCTTCCTTGAGAAGACCACGGGAGGCTGCAGACGTGTTGTTGCTGGGAGACTGCTGTAGGTGGATTATGAAATGCATGAGGGAAAGCAGAGGCCAGTCACTCAGCTGGGAGCGTATCGAGTTGTGTAATGATGGGAAATGTCAGTTAAGGGCAAGAAAAGAGGGGAGGAGGGGAGAGAAAAGAGCAGGACAGTGAATAAAAAAAAACTGCAAGCAGATCCCCAAATGAAAGGTTAATTGGATTCTGTCTGAGGTGTAATTCAACTGTGGTGTTTCTGAACTGTTAGGGTCCACTTTATAGCTCTCTATGATGGAGTTTAATCTCTCTTAGCAGATGTTGCCATTCTCCAGCACTGGTATTACAGCAGATTACACTCCAGTCTAACTATCCTCTCTTATCTCTCGGTTTAATGGCAGATGACAGAAATGGACGCCCCTCTCTCCACCCCCTGCAATATCCAGATTTGTGAGGTGACCTGCGACTCCTTCCGCATCGTGTGGGATATGACCCCCGAGGACACTGCCAGAGCCACACACTTCTTCATCGACCTGAGCCGCAAAGAGAGCAGGGACCCCAACCGCTTTAAACACAGGGTCTGACATTCTGAAACTGCTGCACCACCTCATGCATCTTCCTCTATCCTCTCCCCGGATGTATCCGTCCATCCATCCCATCAATGTGTCTCTTGCTGTGCCGTCTGTGTTCATATTCCAGACTCACACCAATTGATTTTCACAATAGGATTGCTGAAGTCCTCCTTGTACTGTACGACCTTTGTAAATAATAGTGGGCTGCCAAAATAAGACAGGAAAACGTGCAGTTTCTTTGAGGTCTGGTTAGGTTAGTGGGTCTAACTGCCTTATGATATTCTGCATTAGGCTGAACACAGAAAGCAGCGGTTGCGCCCTTTCAGTCACTTCCAATACCGGCGAAAAAGGAGAAAATGAGTGCAGTCAACAGCTTCAGGCCACTGACTCACTTGTACATTGTCTCCTCTTAAAGTGGACAAAAACTGACAAATTCATCTGCACCACACAACAGTTTTCATGTTAACGAATTCCATACAGCACAGACACAAATCAGCAATGTGACGGTTTATCTTTGTTTATTAAATATATAAATATATTTGTCAGGGACTATTAATTTCATACAGTGCGAAGAGATGCTCTGTACCGCATTTAGCTACCAGCTACTTTTCATGCAACTGCAACTCGAGCATGCACAACACATATTTTCATGTGATGTTAAGAAGCTTGAACCATGTATGGCTCAAGGGATGTTGTCTGTCTGTTGGTTGGTTAGCCGGCCCACCACTTTGGTCTGGACTAAAACAGATCAACAACGGTTTGATGGATTGCCGTGAAATTTTGTGGCGACATTCATGATCCCCAGTAGCTGAAGCCTAATGACTTTAGTGATCCTCTGACAGCTATTGGATTGACTGCCATGAAGGTTATGCAATGACATGTTCTGCTCAGGATCAACTGTAATTTGATTTGAACTGTGGTGACTTTTCATCTAGCACCATTATCTGTTTTGGGATTCGGAACTCGATCCTTGTCCAGTACAGACTTTTAGGTGTGAAACAAGCCACCAGTGCACATACACTGAGAATGGACTATACAGAGGGAGACAGAAGGAGTAGATGGCTTTTTAAGGGGTTTAATGTGAATTTTTTTGTTGTTGATTTTTGCAGAAAAAACACATCACACACAAATTATTTGTATATATGATAGGGGATTAGCATTTAAATTATTAATTTGGTGTCTATATTTAGCTCCAGTACCTGACGCCTAACACTTTTGTTCTACCTTCATTTCAGATGGAAACACACCGACTGTAATTATAGCCTATTATTGCAGCTGGCACTCAACAGCTGAAAAAGTGCTTTTGTGAAGTCAAAGCAGGTGTAGGACTGAGTGAGTTGTTCCTGAATGGAAGATATGTTGCCTCTCTCTGATACACACTGTGGCACAAACAAACTTGCATCAGAGATGTTGCCATGGATATATGGGCCTCTGAGCCCGTGCTAATTAGCTGCGCTTCATAGAGGCCTTGGCCAAAACAAAGCCGCTGATTTGATTAGATGTATCCTAGTTACAGCAGCTTGGGCTTGAAGAGAAATATCATGCTAATAAGGCAAAGTTTATGGAGGGAAATGGTTGACTTAACAATTGCATTTACATTTGTTTTGAAATGTAAATGGAACACACAGCAGCCTGTTTTTAACCTTGCATCCTGTCCCTGATGTCAACTCTTTCCTGCTTCGTCCTCCAGGATGTGCCAACCAAGCTGGTGGCCAAGGCCGTGCCTCTTCCCATGGCAGTGAGGGGACACTGGTTCCTCAGCCCGCGGACAGAATACTGTGTCGCTGTCCAAACTGCTGTGCGACAGCCAGACGGCGAGTACCTGGTGTCAGAGTGGAGCCAGGTGGTGGAGTTCTGCACCGGCGGTATGACACACCATACCTGATAGCTGAAGTAACACTGATAATGTATCACATAGAGTATGACAGCTTTAACCAAAGCAATACAAGATAAGTACAAAGACCTGCAGTGCACAGAATTGGCAGAAAACATCTCTAAAAAACTATTCTGCCTCAGCACCAAGTCATCATTAGCATTTCAAAGTAGTGCAGACTTGTGAAACTCCTATCAACTTTGCAGACTATGCCATGGAACACCTACAGCAGCTTCTTGACAAGGCCAAAGGCTCTGCAGGGAGGCTGCTGAAATTCTCTGTGTTTTATCGCAACCAGCACCCAGACTACTTCGACTATGTCAGGTCAGTGCTGCATTCTTATCTCTTCATTGTATACCCAAAGCAAATCCAGCAGCAATAAAAGGACTAGTTTGACATTTTGGCAAACGCTCATTTGCTTTCTTGCTGAGAGTTAGATAAGAGTATTGATGCCACTCTTCTGTCTGCATGGTAAACAGGAAGCTACCGTAAACTGTGGGTTAGGTAAGCATAACCTGAAGACAGGGGGCCACAGTTAGCTTTGTTCTGTCCTAAGGTAACAAAATCCACATACGCAACCTCATTAGCTCACTGACTAACATGTTCGATCTTGTTGGTTTATTTCATACAAAAACACCCAAAAAGGGGGTTTTTGGGGATTATGTGCCAACTCTTCTTCACTTTTAAATTTCTCTTTTGTGGTTTTGGGTAAGAAAAAAAAAAAATAAAGTTTTTTTCCCCCCCCGGGAAAAAATTTGGCCCCCCCCATGCTTTTTTAACCCCCTTTTTTACATGATGGTTTTTGTTTTGATTTAACAAGGTGTTATGGGCAGATTTAGTTATCTTTAGACAGAGCCAGGCTAGCTGTTTCCCTCTGTTTCCAGTCTTTGTGCTAAGCTAAGATAATCACCTGCACGCTGTTGCTTATCTCGCATAGACATAAGTATAGTATCGATTTCCTCATTAAACCCACATGGAGAAATTTTACTAAATTGCTTTTTCAGGTATGTCTCTTTTTTTTGTCTTCATGTCTTGGATTAGAAAGGAGTGTGGAGGCCTGATGCGTCCTGCCCTAAAAGACTGCAGTGGGAGTCATGGTTCTCCCATCAACGGCAAGCTGCAAGGAGTCTTCTTTAGCTGCAACACAGAGTTTGATACAGGCCTCCCTCCCAAAGACTCCCCGTACGGCCCCCTGCGTTTCCAGATCCCAGCCGGACACCTGCTGAACCCCAACATCAGCCTCTACTTTGCAGACTTCTACTGTATGTACACTGCCTACCACTACGTGGTGCTAGTGCTGGCCCCCGTTGGCTCAGAGGGAGACACCTTCTGCCGCACCCGTCTCCCCATGCTGGACTTGGCCTCCAACCCCTTCCTGACGTACACCGACCCCCAGAGGCCGGGGGAGGAGCCTCTGTACTGCCACGCCAGTGACGTCATCCTCGAGGTGCTTTTCACAGAGCCGGTTCACTTGGATCAGGGCAGCGTGGAGCAGATCAGCGGGCACCACCAGCTGAAGAGTCTGACCACAGCCAACGCCAAGAAAGACCCGAGCTGCAAGGTGTGCAACATCAGTGTGGGACGCTGAGGGACAGACTGATGTAGGGCAGACCTGGGACTGTGTGACAAGTGTTGCACAGTGACAAAACAGTTGAGCCCATCACGTGTAGGTCAGAACACAGTGGAAACAGCCCACCTCTCAGGGTGTGTGCATGCTGCTGTCCCCCCCGCCCGCTTGGATTAGCATAGTGAATATTAAATAGAAGACTTTTACAATGTGTATCGCAGAAATTCATCATGATCACAGCTGGAAATATAGCGAACATCCATCCATGACTGCTGAACAAAACATAATTGAAGACATGATACGCTTTAAAAGGCTGGAGAAAATCCCTGCTCTATATTTGTTGACTCATCTGTGTCTTGTGTCTTCTGTGTTTTTCCTTATGATGTGTTTAATTTCATTTTTTATTTGCTGGACTACTACGTTGATGTGATTTCTTTTAAAGATATTTGTGTTTGATACAACCTGAAATGCAACGCCAGAAGCATGTTCCCCCTTTTAAAAGTCTGGTTTTAAACATTACAGAGGTCGTAACAAATATTTGACTATTTCTACTTCTTGCAATGCTTTCTCTATAAAGTCACTGCCAGATGTTCTTTTTCTTTAAAAACAAGACTTATTGCCAAATGTTTAATATGAATGCTACATTGTAGCTTTGACTAGTTTTCAGCATCCCTGCCAAATACTTTATTGCTTCTTAAAAATTGTACTGCTTAATTACACAGACTCTTACTGCAGAAAAACATGGTGCAATGTGACATGGAAAGCATGCTCATTCGGTGTGTTGGGGTTTTAGGAGGTAATGGGGAAGATGGTATCACCAAGTTCCCTGCGATCTATCTTCTGACAGCAAGCCCTGGCTCTATAAACAGGGCTGAGCTAAGATTAGCTTCTCTCTGGCTATGGGGCTTCTGTCTGTCCGTGCCCAGTAATCTCTGACCTATATGGGAATCCCAGAAATGCCCAAAGTGAAAAGGATCCCCTCCCTGGTGCACAACAATAAGGCATGCAGTGGTGAGGACATGACAGAGAGAGTGTGGACTGAAACACCTGTCTGATGCTGAATGTGAATGATAACTGGGCAAAGAAAAAATAAATGGAACAAAACTGACCTGTTTAAAAATGTTTTATACAAAGAAATGTTTAAGATGTCTAAACATTTATGAAAATGCAATTCAGAGTGAAAACAATGCAAATAAAAAATATCCCAAAAAATATTTTTACCAAGGGACTGCTGCATGTAGCCTGAGCCAAAAAAAGGTTGAGTAAGTCATGCCCTTTCACTTAGATTCTTCCCGCGACAGAGGTGTGAGCTCACACACACAGCAATGCAGTAATTCTGCCCGTTGTTATTGTCCCAAAAAGGCTCACTGTGCCCACCTGGTAAATAACTTAAACAGAATTCTATCTTCCTTTTGGCATCTAGCACTTTAGGAATAGCAATGTCAAATTCAAAGATGTCTGTCTGAGGTCCCCCGAAGCGTTTCTGGAGGTAAGAACAGGGCACATCTCTGCAGCTCTGCCACGAGTCAAAGGTGACACGGACATGCACGTCCTTCTGGAAACTGATGTTCCTGACTCGGACGGTTCCTTGCAGGGCCTGCTCATTAACACTGCAGTTCTCCAGGATAACCATGCTCTTTGCCAGCTTGGCACGGAAGGCCTGGAAATCTGCAGAGGGCTGCGGGAAGCCCAGTTTGAGCTGCGTTCCTGGGCAGCAGGTGCTGACGGTGCAGCTGTAGCCATCCTCTGTCATGGTTCCCAAACCCTGCAGGGATGGCAGAGGGTCGAGGTCAGGCTGCTCTTCTTCATCAGAAAACTCTCGCACGGCTGTCAGAGACAATCCCTGCGAGTCAGCGAAAACCACACGTTTGTTTTTGATTGGGATTGGGAATAAAACGTCGTCATCGTCATCGTCCAGTTCATCCAACAGAAATGGGAGAGGGTGGGTCAGCCAGGCTTGGCTCAGGATGTCAGAGGGCAGCTGATCTGAAACTGGAGGACGGATGCAAGGGCGCTGGGGCTTCAGGATGGGAACCCAAACATGGGGACACAGTTGTTTACGTTGGTTCAAGCACAGCATGACAGTGATCTCTGCAAGACCAGCTGACTGGGCCGTTGACCTGAGGCCAACAACTGGCAGGACCCTTGAAAGAGATAACCAGGGGTTTCAGTAAAAGACTGCTGCCCTAGAGGTGTGATTAAAGTTGTGTATACTGTGTAACTGGGCTGTCATTGGGTTGTTGTGAGGTGCATTATCAAGCATGATACCAAAGGTATGATAATAATAACTCAAAATTGAAGGAGTGATGAAAGATAATGCACGTGGGGTGCATTATCTTTCACAGCAGCAGGACCACCCCACATTTAGTTTGCATCAAGTTCTTACGTTGTACTGGACATCTCCATCTCTGGCGCTGAGTGGTGGGAATGTTATCCTCAATGTTTGGTTGGAGTTCTAGAAAATAGAAAAAAAAAATGTATGCCAGACAGTAATTGATGGTATTTTGATGATTGGATTACAAAATTATTGTTGTTTGACATTAAAAAACTGCCTTTGTGTGCTATTCTAGAATTGTAATCTCACATAAAAAGGTTTTTTTAATATCTTACTTTCAAACTCCCACGAGCAGCGAGTTGTTGCCTGTAGTTCCAGTCATCGCTTTGCCCTGCAGGACAATGTGGCACACGGTCCTATTTATACTGCCTCAGTTCAAATGTCATGTAGTGAACTCCTCCCTCTCTGCTCTCCTGACCAATCAGCTAAGTCTTGTGGTTTCGTGGTTCTAGTATTGTATTAATTTAGACCTGCTTGTAATGATTTCAGATCACGCACAGCAACAATCCTTATATTTAAACGTATCTGCTACTTCTGCCTCTGCCTAATTCAATATTTGACTGTCAAGACAGAAACATGTTATTACACCAGTATGTTAGCTGTGAAGATTTATTAGAGAAATCTCTGTATGGTCACCTCAGAGCTGTGTTGTAGAGTGCTGATGTGGCGATTGAGTACATGCAGGTTTACTGTATGTAATTCTACTCTGCATTGTGGAAACTATTCCAGTCATCCCGGGCTCTATTCTCGGACCTATCAATGGACACATATACGACTGAGGCCTGGGTCCAGGTCCCCTGCTTATCTGGCTCCTGTCCTGAACAGGGATCACTGCCCCGCAGCCCTGATGGGCCCTGCGTGTGACGCAGAGGAGGGGTCGGATTACAATCAACTCCCAGCATGCCGAGGAAGCTATTCAAGAATCAGTCCAAGTATGTGTATACATATTGAGTTACATGAAACGTCTACCAGACATCGCCTTCCCACTTACTGAGATGAATTTGAACATCAAACTTAAGGACATTTTGATGGCTGAAGAACTGGTTTACAAGAGTTTATACTGGTCAAGATTAGATCATTACTCACACTGCAAGAACTCAAAGCTGACTGAAGTAACTGCAGAATTGAAAAAATAATAAAATAAAATGCTTTCATAACCATTCAATCGTTTACAAAAGTTTTTATTCATCATCAACATTTTCAAGAAAACTGATTTTATTTTCCAACATATTAATATGAACAACAGCATTCATGCACCCTAAAAGCTTCTCTGTGTATCATCAGCTGTCTTTCCCAACTTGTTTTCCTAGTTAGATCATCTCTCTTTATAAAAAGTGAATTATTCCTTATCTCCCAAAAACACTGGGTAATGGGATTCCACATTGGCTAGATCAGCAGTGCAGCTCAAAAGACCCAAAGACGTCAGTTAGCTGACACGTAGTTCAGTTTTGTGAAGCCCACTCACCCTCAGTCCCCTATTAGTTCCAATTACTGGGCAATTTGTGTGAGGGCAAACAATGAACACTGATTGCTCCCTCTGAACGCTTACATAACAATGTTATTATAACAATTATGTCCCGGAGAAAGACTGTTCCACACATCCTTTTAGGGTATGACTAAAAACACAACCACACAAAAGAAACTTTAAACCTTGAAGCAGCGTTTAAATGCAATTCTACATTTGGTAGCCAAGGTGAAGAGATGGACATCAACGTTATCTGAACATTAAAAGGGTTTCCATTATGTCTAATAACAGAAATGTATATTAATGTAAGTGTGAATGTCATTAAAATATGGCATTCAAAAGAAACAACGTCCCTTTAAACATGCACGCACATGAAGAGGTGCACTTTGGGATGTTGAGCACTATAATGTCAAGTGAACTGATGAAATTTCACCTTCGGGTCATTTGATGCATCTTGTTATTGAGCAGAGGGAGAAGTCTAATAACATGAGTCATCTGGATAAAGTAACAGAAGGAATGATGAATTAGCAGATTAAACAGGACAGTAACACACCGAAATGCATTATAATTATGTAACCAAACGTATGTTGTGACATGATTTCAATAGGTCCAAAAATAACTGCTTTGGTGCACCAGGGTTCGTTCGCCAGCGAGCGGAGTACTGGCTTCAAGACATGGCGCCATGAATGTGTGTTTGCAACCCACAAATTAGTCCATAATCCTGACACCAGTGAGAAAGATGGGCACAATCTCTGCATGTTAATCTTCCTCATCACTGGAATGTTACAAAGAATATAGTACTGCTCATTTTCTGACCTCCTGGAGCCAAAAACATCCTCACCAACAGAAAGACCTGTAACATAAGAAATAATGTGTGTTAGCTGCAGTTGAGTGAAATCACAGGTCTGCCTTGTTTCAAAACATATCGTGCTTCCTATAAGAGATACTTTTCTCCCATAATCTGTTACTAAGAGACAATGAACAATGTAAAAAAAGTCAGCTAAAAATAGATCCAGATGTCACTGCAAAGCAGTTGCTTATGTAAGATCTGCTGAAATGAATTAGCAGATGTCTGTACAAGAGTGTGTGAGGGCAGTATTGAGTTAATGAGAAAGATGACACAGTGGAACTCATTATTGCTCACCTCGACCTTCATATTAACTGCACAGCTCCACTTGAAACAAATGGTGCTATAGTTCGATATCGCATTAGGTGCTGAGAGCCTTCCTCAAGATCCACAACATACTCTCTGACAGAAGAGATAAGAGTAGAGACATCAGTTGTTTTAGTATTGATGCAGAATATATAACATTACTGAATGGGGAAAGGTAACACTGCCACCTGGTGGGCTTTGAAAACAATAATTCAAGTGAAATTTGGTTGAGGTGTACCTCTGATCGTCTGTTTCAGGCTCAACCAAGATGTTTTCCTGTGTCTCCTTGACTCGCAAAAACACAAAGGAGTCCAGGCAGGGCTCAGGCACTGGGATTACAACAGAACACATGGGATTTAGTGTGATGGTCAGTGGAAATGTCAGAGCAAATGCCACCATCTGCCAGCACATGCTAATAGCAGTATTTTGGGCGTGGGTCACCCAAGACTGAACGAATGTAAAGAGGTAAAAATAAAAAGAAGATTTTACCTGCTTTGAGCAGATCTACTGTCTGCAGGTTGGGGGGCATGCGCTTCAGTGCTACAGCCTTCAGGTAGGTCTCTGTGTTGGCATAGTACCTATGTGCCAGATGAACATGTGTCACAGAAAAACAGCAAAAGTAGTTTAAAACAAAGAGCTCTGGCCCTTTTCTACTATACTCACTCTTTGGCAAAGGCAAACTCCTCGGGTGAAAGCAGCGACGGATCTCCCTCCCCTCGAGACTTTTCTCTCTCCAGGACGTGCGGGAAAAACTTTTCAATCTAGACATAAAGAGATCAGGTCATTTTGTCAACAAGTGAGATGAGTGCTTTTATTTTGCAGCCGTATTCTTGACCTGGCTGACCTTCTGCAGACGAGAGCGCAGGTAGCTGCTGAGCACAAAGCGGATCCTGTCTATTTCCATGCGATGGATGCTGGCCTTGGTGTCACCTTTCTTCACCCGCTGCAGGTTGGCTTCCTGTTGGAGGAAAGGTCAGGACACTGTCAGGAATGAATATTTTCTGTTATTCAGGGTGACTTACAATGAGAGAAAAGCAACAGATTTGGAATACGTTTCAATATGACCGTTACTAGAATCCATTTATTGTACAATGATTCAATTATCTGATTAATTGAATAAGTGTGCAAGTACACAGATCCACCTCTGTATCCACAGCTGGATCTGGTATTTAGATTCCAACAGCAGTAATGTAAAAAGTCACACTCATATACAACAGCTTCAAATATTTGCCCAACTAGTACAGAAATATTTCTACAAGCTTTTTATTCAGTGTTCTTACACTTGCCAGAATACACAGTTATTTATACATATAATGAAATTCATAAATAATTTTGGCAGCTTAAGTACGAGGCCCACTGTTGGAAAAACCCTGGAGATTTAGAAAATTCAGTCATAATACTACAAGAAAAATAACATAACATTTCAAGAATGAAGTTCCACTCTTTTGATTTGTAATGCTTCCTGTTGAAAAGCTCAGGGAGGCGGTGGTGTGCTGTACTTCAGACGGGGGGAAGTAAACTCTGTGAGGACACTAAGCCACACAGTGGTGAGATTTACATCAGATGAGAAATGTTTTCAAACTGTTAGTTTCAGTTTTCCACGTCCGATAAAGAATAGTGCTTCTGTGTCTGTCAGATGGTCGTGTCAATGTGTCAATCTAAATAGGACACTATCACATCAGCAGAGTGCAGAGCAATAACATAATGCACAGCAGATTACACAGGACAAACTGCTTGCTTTTCACATCACTTACATAAAACCCACAGAGCTTTAATCACAATGTGAACCTGAGGAGACTGAGGTCCTTTGGTGTGTGCAGGACTCTGTTGGGGAGCTGGAAGCACAGAGAGGGACGGGAGGAGACTGAAGAAGCTGGTCAGGAGGGCTAGTTCTGTCTTGAATTGCCCTCTAGACTCCATAGAGGAGGTGGGTGAGAAAACACCTCTCGCCCTCTGCATGAAACTGTCCCTGAGCAGCTCCTTCAGCAACAGACTGCTGCACCCACAGTGCAAGAAGGAGCATTACCACAGGTCCTTCACCCCAGCAGCTGTCAGACTTTTGTACTGCATATTCATAGCCCTGTGTAGCCTATATTCTTCTGCTATATTAATGCTGTATATATGTATATATAACTTTGTCCGGTGCAATTATTTATTTCTACAACATGCCACTACCACCTGCTGTAACCTGTGAAATATTCTATTTTAACTTAAATTACATGTGTATAAAAATACTGTATATAGTTTACATACAACCCTAATTCTATCTTTTTCTTGTAATTTAATGTGTTTTTTTCCCCTTATCTGCTATGTATGCTATGCTATCTATATCTGTAGCTGCTGTAATAAGTGAATTTCCCCAGTGTGCGATCAATAAAGTCTATCTTATGTTATCTTGACTGAGCTCTGGTCTCAGCTGTCTGGTCTCTGCTAGACCTGGTTATTGACTCATACGTCATTTAACTGGTTTCGTTTTCTTTAAAAATAAGACACAGCACTTACTGGGGAAACCTTTAACTTCAGGTCATCCCTCATTTGACACCCAGGCAGACTGAGCTCATCCGCTTAACACGCAGAGTAATGAAATCTCGAAAGATGACGGCCTTTTCCTCATAATGCGATGACTTTATTCTCGTAATATTACACCGTTTTCTCAAAATATTCAGACTTTGTTCTTGAAAATCTCTTCATACTTCCACTAGGGGTGTAAGAAAATATTAAAAATATTGTATTGTATTGATTTTGTCATAGGTCTGTGATATTACAGGGACTGTGATACATTCAAATTCAAAAAGTTTTTTAAAACTCAGATTTTATGCATATGGTGGTGTGTTTTTCATTACACTATCACCTTGCTTACAGTATCACAATTTATCACAATAAACTTAAACATAACCTCTGTATTGTCAGATCCCTGCCAATAAACAGCCCTAACTTCCACTCCACTATATATTTCTTCACAAAGAAAATGTGTACTTTTTTTTGTTGTTTACTTTACTTCACTTTAAACCACCCACAGCTCAAATCATCTCCACCAAGGTCACCTACCACAGTAAAATGCTGCTTACACGTTTAATGCATCTGCAATAATCTAACAATAAAACATATATAACAGCACAACAGGGACTAAAGACACTTTTACTCTTGATTTTTTTAACAATACTTTTATGTGTAAACTTGAGTAGCATTTTCAAAGCAGGACTTTTACTTGTAAAGACACATTTGCAGTATGTTATTATTACTTTTACTGCAGTAAAGCACCTGAATATTATTACTTTTACTGCAGTAAAGCACCTGAATACTTCCTCCACCACTGCAGTTTAAGTCAATCATGAATACAGATGTTGAGGTACAACCCTGCACCGTACTGTGCCTCCTGTCTGGTGACATTTAGAAAATGTAGGCAGACCTATGCGTGTTTCTGAACATAGTTTACAACCCACACAGGGTATAGGAAGAGAGGTATTCCCCGTTTAATGTACCATGTGAGTCAGCTGCTCCATCACACACTCCACCACCTCGGATTTGTTCTCCAGCAGCTCCGGTGAGAACTTCTCATTCAGCCAAGCCTGCGGGAGACAGAGAGGGTCGATGAGAGGCGTTACATGTTGTCTGTATGAAGTGTTGTGGCCCCTTCATGTCACTGTCAGCTCACCTCTTCCAGTTTAGCAATCAGCTCCGCCGGGGTCATAACATCCTCCTGGCTGACATCTTGGTGGACGTCGCTGCCATCATCAGACAAAGCGTCCGACATACTTTTATATTTTTACCGTTACGGAGTAAACCGACAAAAAAAAACTGAGCTTAACAGACACTTAAACTCTATGTTTAACTTTTAAGTTAAACTGTATAGCGATACAAACGGAGTAAGTATTTAAAGTTTACTAAAGAGACAGGCGTTAGTTTACACGGCAGCGTGTTTACTGGAGAATCTCCTTGTTTATTCGCGCCACTGGAGCTCTTCTCGCGAGATTTTAATTATGCTTTGCAACCCTACCTTTGACTTGTAAGGCAAGGTTCCTCGTAGGTTGTAGTGTGTACCGCCGATTAATGCGATATACAATCAAATACTTCACTTTATAAAGATTAAAGCAAAGTGTTTGTATCATAGTTAGTGTAAATATCTGCCTCGCCTACTGTAGGAGGTGGGTTTTTAACACTGACCTGGGAGCAGTGCTTCCTGCGAGTCTGAACTCAGGGTATATTTTAATAAAAGTTTTGTTATGACAACATACTGTGTATTAGAGCTGCTCGATAATATGGAGGGTTTTTTTGTAAGTATAAAAGAGTATGAGGGTGCAGCAAAATTCATTTTGAATTAAAATTGAATCTGCATTGCATGAAAACCTGTTTTTGAAATATGATTAAAGATTTATATTATTCTACAATGAAAGCATGAAATATGGAAGTATTTAAAGCCTGTAACCGGGGAACACAGCATTAAACCATGTTATTATTTACCCACACTCAAAGAAATAAAAATAATAGTCAAAACATGGAAGCCAGTTTCCCTCAAAGATGACCAAAGTCAACATGTCACGTCTCCTCTGCACAATTGTGTCTCTCCTTCACTCATCTGTATTTCTTATCAGCTTGTGTGAATTTAACAGAAATGCAATCATTTGCCTCGTTTGTTCCAGTCTTGTTTGTGACCACATTGTGGCCTGCAGCAGTATCTTGTTTGTCTGATTTCCTCTTTCTCTTTCTTCCTCATTGCTCTTGCCGCATAATTCATTGTTATTTTCACCAGTAATGATCTTACATCCGCTGTGGCAATACCACTGTAGTGAGAGTACTGCACACTGTTTCTCACACGGGTTATCGGTGCTACATCAGACTGAGAGCAGTCGGGTTGCACCACAACCCGGAGGACTGTTGTCAGTTTGAAAAACAGATTAACAGACAATAATAACACTGCCAAGAAAAAGGTTTGTCCTCAAAAACAACATGAAGTGAACTCTGAAGTCGGAATAAATAAGGGATAAAAATCAGATTTGTGTAAAATTGAGCTTGAACAGCAGTGCATAGTGACAAAGTCCTGCATATTATATATTATAGATTAAACTGTAACTCACAAATGTCCTTTAGTCTCTTATTCACTGATGACCTACTCATTTACATGAGAGTTTACATTTGTCCCTGATTAAAACAAATAAATAAAACGGATACTGCTAATATCCTATCCTATCCTATAACTAATAAATCCAGTGACAAATTGATGAATTACAAACTGATTTAAATATGAATAAACAATTCAGAGAAAACATTTCTTATTAAGATTAATGCTGTTTTACAATGGGAAGAAATCAGCAATATTTCAAACAAAGGTTTTAGTATTTTTTATGTTTATTTATGATTATTCCTTACTTTCGGTTTAAATACATATGAATGACAATGAGATGTAACTTTAATATCTTTTAAAATATTTAACACTGATGCATGGTACATACAATATTTATACAGTATCATTATATTGAGCAGACGTCACAGTACAGTACAGTGAGAGGGTTCTTTGCTTTGAATACAAAGTATTGAAATTGTGCGTAAAAAATGGTTTTGACAGAATTTAACTTAAAAAGGTGTGTTTTAAAAGATTTGACATTCAAATGTGTAGCCTATATTTATTTCCTGTAGGGAAATTTACAACAAGATATTTTATCTTGGGTAAATAACTTAATAAAATAATATTAAGTTAATGATAAAATAATGCAACCTTCTGATGCATTTTGATGGTTCAACATGTTTAACTGTGAGGCTAGAAATATCTCTAGCCATCACAGAAACACTTTGCCACTGGGGGTGGCAGTGTGGGAAGCCACAGAACTTACACATTTGTGTACTAATGCCATGTTTAAAACACAAGTAGTTAAGCAATACAAAAGTGGACCAACAAGCTCAATGGCATTTTTGTCAAGTAACAGTTATTGAAGTCTGGAGTTGGAATACAAAGAATCACAGCTTGTGAGGATAAATGGGATTCATGGCAGGTAGGGCATATCCAGTTTGAGTATTAAACAGAGGAATGGAGTAGGGATATGGGTAAACAGCAGGCCCAATGAGAGCAGAGTGAGCCGGGCTCACTGGGACATGGCGGTACATTAGCTGAGATGGAGATAGTCTCATCCTGTTGGGGTGAAATGCAGGGTACAATGGAGGTTGGTGCCGATTGTCTCTCCCTGATTTGTCGTAGCTTGACAGGCGCGTCACCTGCAGGCTGGCGTTGGAATGGGACAGACTCTGCTGAGTGGTAGGAACCTTTTGTAGTATTGTCCTAGATTTCTCCCGCTTCTCCATCTGATGAAGCCACGGTCCCATGTTGTGCTTCTTTGCATAAGTCAAAGAGTCGTCCTGCTGCATCAACCTGACCTGGTGCATTTTAGGGTCTGTCCGAATAGGAGCGGGCCGCAGAAGCTGTGTAGATTTTGGAATAACCTTGGTGAAGCTAGAGTTAGAGGTTGGAGCCCACTCAGATTTCTCAGGGAAAGAGAAGGGTGAGTAGAAATGATGGGGGAAATCTCTGACATTCTCAAAGGGGATTTGCTTCAAGGCAGAGTCTTTAATCTGGCCTTTGATCGAGTCTGCAGACTGGGAACTAACGTGAGAAACGTATTTATTTTGTCTTGCAGGGTCTTTGGATATCTGACTACGAGTCACAGACTTGCTTTCCTCACTACAGCTGGATGTACTTTTCTCAGAGCTGGAACAGTTATGGGGTAGCTCAGAGCTTGATGCAGGTTTATCTTCATTCCCTGCTGCACCGTCCTCTGATGAAACCGAGACAGGAGAAGGGCTGCGAGAAGAGGAAGAGGATAAAGGGACCGGGGAGCCGTCAGAGGAGTTGCCGTTCTGGCTGGAAGAAGCGCGGGCCGGAGACTGGGAGCAGTGAATGACGGAGGGCCTTTCTTTATCCTCGCTCTGAGGACTCAGTGGCAAGTTGAGGCTGGCCTGAGCCATTCGCTTTTTTTTCTCCAGTGGAGAGATGACCTCTCCAGCAGCAGATGGAATATGAGCAGGCCAAGGGCTGGATGTGGGGACCTGGACAAGGTGGGCATAGACAGATGTGCAAAGACTGGTGGGGGCTCTGTTTGGCTGAGAGCAGTCCGGATGGTGTCTGTCGGGCGTGGGGGCCCAGAGAGCGGGGTGAGGATGCATCACTGCTTCACTTTGGCAGGCAGCCTCTGGACTTCTCTGGGTGAGTATCTATAACATAATAGAGGGGTTGCTTTAAGACACATTGTGTACCAATACAGATTGCTGTATTTTTGATTAATTTTAACAGATGTTACCTCAGAGTCCATCTCTCTATCTGAGTGAGTCCTTTTCCTCTTCCTCTCAGCCTTGTGGACCTTGCCATCCAAATTTCTCTTATAAGGCTTTCGTGGTTTGCTTGGAGGCAGAGGTTTGTCTTCCTCTCCTTTTATGTGTCTTTCAAAGGGCAGCACCAGCCTAAAGAAATTAAAATTTCTGGTTATGAATCGGTTGATGTAGCGATTGCATTGACAGGTTTAGTTAGAAACAGAACCATCCTCACTTCTCATAGTGTCTGCGAGTGCAAGTGGCAGCGCTGGTGCTACCTGGACTTCCACCCAGTTCATCATACACTTTCTTCCATAGACGTCGCGCTGTCACCTGTTGGATAAAAATGTGCAAATGTAACAACCCGTCGGTAATGCTTGCACTATTTTTCCACCAAAATGTGTGGAAAGTCACTGACAGTTCACACCAGGTACGTAGTGACACGTAAAACCAAAATGCTCAGGGTCTTCTTCCCTATCACAAACTAAAGGGCTGCTTAGTTGTGACTGCCACCAAGGGGCCAAAAAATGTGCAAATGATCATTTATGATGTTTTATTATCTATTTGCTGCTTTATATAGCTGCATTTATGGAGGAAACCACTGTAGCATTTGCTCCCGGTGGTTGAGAGAAACATAATGCAGCTGTTTACCTGTTACATTCTTACACCTTAAAACCCCTGAGATAGCTTGCCTTCCGTTCTGATTTCCGTCAGGCGCTTGCACCCCGGCATACCCGCTTTCACGTCTGCTTTTAAAACAGTTATTGGAGAAAATAGGTGGCTGGTTACCCTTTAAATGCCATGTCTGCTGGTTTTCAGTACTGAAAGAAAACTTTCGTTTTTAACTTTATGCATATGTAGGCGGCGTATATTGTTGGGTTTACGCTCTGGGACACAGCGGCGGTGGAGATGGTGGTGGCGGGGGGTCACCTCTCTCTAGAGCCCCAGCCCTGCTCTATAGTGTCATTTCAATATGAGTCGCTGTCTCAGAGCTTGTCAAAAAGTGTCAACATCAAAGACAACAGATACAGCGTGAGCTCTGCAGCCTAAATGTCCTCCTGTGTGGTAGAAACCACCGTGTCACAGTACCTGACCTATAGCTGATTTTCCACTGAGAAACCTGTAAACACTGAAGCCTTCAGTGAAAGGATTATCAAATAAAGAACTTGTACTTACGGAATCATAACCCCCAAGTTTCTCCACGGCTTTATAGATCCTCCAAAGATTAACTGAAAGTGGGAAAAAAAACAAATTATTTTCACTCAAATTCCAATTGAATATTGTGTTCATTCAACAGCCAGCTTAGGAACTCACTCTGCTTGAAGCCCAGATGTGGGATCCTTTCTATGGGTGTACCTCTGTCCTTCATAAAAGAGTGCAGACTTGAAACAAACGACTTCTCCTCCATCTGCACTAGACTGGGCCTCGCTTCTTCCTCACACTCAGTCATGGAGTCATGGATCTCAATGACAGCGGGGGAAGCCTAGCGTGGAGAAAACACGTACATGGGAGAAGTTTTGCATCAAAATCAAGTGGCTCCTGTAAATGCAACACGGTCCACTGCACTTATATAGAAACCTGTTTTACAGTTGAAGGTATTATTGCAGATGGGAAAAAACGAAACAGAGTCATCTCATGGGATGCAAATGTTGAAATGAAACATCAAAATCAGAGGGTAGGGTTTTACCGCTACTTTCAATAGATAACCGCTATACATCCTGTCTGGAGAGAAAGCAGCAGACTTGTGGGGTTTTTGGTCTAGAGTTGTCTGTCACTGGTATTGCAAATGTCACTTTGAAAAACAAACAGAGGCCAAAAAGAAATGTAGTAAAAGATGTATATCAGTGGTGATAATAAGCCAGACTTTGAATAAAGATAGGCTTCTGTGTTGTAATATCTAAAAAAAACAACTGGTTCCATGGTTGCTGTATTTCTGCAAAACTAGTGTACATAACTTGGAAGAGATTTAAGATTCTAAGAAATTAGAATTATCAAGTGTGATTATACCCAGAACTTCGGTACAAGAAATTGACAATGTCACTATTTGTGGTTAGCAAGAAAGAAGAAATGAAACAGCGAAGGCATGCAGAAATAAAATCATCAGTTGGAGAGATTTCAAGAAGAGAAGTACAGAAGCAGCAAGAGACTCAAGAAGAGAAACTGTTAATGAGGACAATATGGTTACTGTATATCGTTACTGTGTGAACACTGGTACAAACACTTCTGTTATTGTGTTATTCTGTGCAGTGAAATCGTAGATTACGGTATTTCACACACACATATTTAAATGTGAAATTTCACATCGCTACTGTGTCGATTAATTTCGATAGGTTGAATGTCAAAAGAGACCGCAATGGACAATGTCAATATTTTACTTTGAATCACCACACGTAGAAGCTGCTTTATTTCTGAGGCAGTCATTGTAAAACAAAACGGCTCTGGGTGGTTTCATATTGAATCAAGTTCCTCTATGTGGTTCCTGGTTCCGAGAAGTAGGCCTCTAAGAGTGAGTAATAGTGAAGGTGCAGGCCTCTAACCAAGATAGCCCCGACTGAGTCACAGTTGAGTGGCTCCACACTGCTGTTCCCAGCCAACAGCCAACAGCTCTGACTTTCCACTGTTATTCTGTATCACCTGCTTTTCCTTCTGCTGATATTATGTTTGTGTTAAAATAGAGTGATGTCTAAAAATATCACATTTCACAAACCAGTTTGAATTGCCTGTGTTTCTAGAATTGGGACTGGCAGATAAATGTGGAACCTGCATCTAGAATTATGAGAAGCTTGCCAAATTTTTGCTTGGGATCTTAGAAAATTCACCGGTATTCACGAAGAACATTTTAACTTTCAGTTATTGTTCTCAGATCTGATTCACAAAACTTTCAGGTTCGTGCATCAATGGTTGCCTACAGGAAACGTTTGCACTCGAAGCCACATACTGTAGCCCCTTTGCTGCAGATCTCACTCGAATATCATTGTGAAACATTCAGTTGATTTCCACTAGATGAAATTTTTTGGAAAACCGTGTGGGTGATGTTGATGTCAATGTGTTGATATGTGATTCTCACAATGATTGTGAGTGGCGTGCTGGATTGATGCAATCGGCAGGCCAGAAGTCACCACAGAAACCACCAGGCTTTCAACTAACATCAGCTTTTGGAAATTTGATGAGCTAATTTGTGTTTCTCATATTGTACCTCTCATTTCAGTTACCAGAATAGTGGCTGCGAAGACCTCTTGCAGTTTCTGTATGTGCAATGAAATATTGTGGTGTGTCTTATGGAGTGAGATGTGCGTACGTTCTTTCTCTCAGAATACGACGCACAAGAATCACTTATTCCTTGTTACTCATTTCACAATCAGCCACCAAGATGAAAAGACTGTACACACACACACAATCAGCACTTCAAAAAATTTGCTACTATCTCAAATTCACTAAAAAAGGGAAATGAAAACACAACGCATAACATCTTTCTGAGTAGTCATGTCTGTAGTCACTGATTAACTGTAACTGATGGAAATTGCCCAGACTGCTGCCAGAAGGCCAACTGACATTTTATCAGCAGTGACTGAGGTTAGTACAGTACCTGGTTGTCCGTCCCCTTCTCTTCGTCACTGGCTGCTGTTTGTTGTGACGTCTCGCTCTGGTCCTCTTGAGCTTCAAACATTGACATGAGACACACATTTACAACTTGACATAATTTACATTGCATTTAAAATTCAAAGAGGAACCAAGCACAAACACATATTTCATAAAAAAGAAACTATTCAGAGTGATTTGCATCACTGCTGGGGATGGAGTTCTGGTAGTTTGTGTGATGGTCAGATGATCGATCAGCACAAAAAGTTGAAATCTGAAGAACATATTGTCAACTGAGTGTGATATAAAACCACAGGTTGCAAAACCACTTCCTGCTCATGAACAAAACCGCTTGTATACTGCACTGTATGATATTGTAACATGTAGACTACAGTATTTGGCAACAGTGAGACAATCTTAAACAACAAGCTACAATGTGAAGCACTGTTATTCCCTGTATTTAGGTAAGCATGAGAGAAGATGGTAGAAAAACACTGATGTTACTACTGGTAGGGGAATATGAGGTATTGAGAAATCAATTTTATTTTCAAGTCTTAGAGCTTTGCTATGTGCTCACCTCAATATTCAAAAAAATCCACTAATATTACAACTTTAGGAATGAAATGTACGGTAATTCTGAGAATGAAATGTCAAACCTCGTAGCCCTCCACCCACAGTGATATCGTCTGTGTGCAAAACCAATATGCTTCTCTTTTGAGATCACTTATTTCCTGTGCTGCGGCTTGAACCTTTAATTCTGCTTTCAGTAGCCCCTGACTTCTCCATTTCATCCGTTGAAGACATATTTTTTGACATATTGTATTATTTCTCAAGCCCTTGCGAACAAACGCTGTTACTTGTTTGTTTCTCTGCGTATCAACAAGTGCAGATTTTTTAAAACCAGATATTGATCACAGTCATAATATTATGAAAGAGTCACTGTGGCACTTGCTTAAGAATGAGGTTAAAAATATACGCCTGAGGCATTAATAGTTTCTTTCTTTTTACGATAAATGTAATGTACATTCCTTTCCTTTTGCAAAAGCAGACTTATGTCCGTACAGTTTTTCATGTATTGTACAAACAAGGTCATTTAAAGTGTTAATATGTTATCAAATTCAATATGGCTAAAACTATACAGTATTTAACCCATTGCAGTAAATACATCAAACAGTAAATATGAATTGAATCGGGCTTCAATAAAGTTAAAAGTGACACTCACCCATTTCCAGAAGCTGCCTTCTCTGGCTTGACAGTGTTTTGTGACAGTAATTCATGTGGCACCCTCTTCAACTTCACACCACGAAATAGGAAGGTGTCTCCACACAACAGTTTCATTGGTCGACTGATCGCTCTGCAGCAAATGAGTCTGGGAAACTGAGTTTTTTTTTTTTCTGTCGTTTAAGTCTCACAATGTCTGTTCTCTGTTTCATCTCTTGAGTTTCAAAAAACAACAGCTGTGTTTAAAATTGTGGACCAAACTCTGCATTTCATACCATATATGTAGTTTATTATTTATTTCTAGATAGATAAACATGAGTAAAATGATGTTGGTGTCATGTGTTTTCAGTGTTCATTACTGCTTTTGTATGTATTACCACATATTATTGTGAGAAAATACATTCAAGAAGTGACTAATAAAAATGATATGTTAACTTAAATAAGTGTGTTGGTATAGTGATATGATTAAAACCTGGTCACTTTCGGTGTCCAGACTGGACTCACTGGGAAGTGAAAGAAACGTTCAACCCAGCCCAAATAACGCTTCAAATGTAGGAATAACATTTGATGTCTACATTATTAAAGCAATGTAATTTACCCACTTACTGTCAGTGCTTGAGTGAGGATCAAATATTTCTTGGAGCTGGTTCATTACTGACTCATAAACCATCTATTACACAATGAATAAAATAACAGAACCAAATCAGACTGTTTATTTTCATTAAAAAAAGGTCAATTTCAGTGTTTTATGTCACAATGAGATTTTACTAGGTCCCAAAAATGTGTGTAGCTGCATAGAAATGAATATTATGTTTAGACATAAAAGAAGTGTGTTTAAGTGGTTAAAGATAGAGACAGTTCCTGCTGTCTTAAAACAACTTCTTAGAAGTACAACATGAAGTATTAAATACCACAATGACTTAGCACTCTGAAAGCCTCTTCCTTCCTAAATGTATTATGAGTTTATGGAGGATGTTAAAATAAAGCAGAACGCGGGGAAGGTTTGTTAAAACGGAAGTATTATTTTGAGCGTATCACTACTGGTTATGGTACTAAAGGCAGTTTTATTTGATGCAGTGTAACAGTTTAAATAGTAAGTGTGTTTTGACCACACTCAGGATTATTTTTTTGGATGAGGTCGTAATGTACTCGGTACAACAGTGATCATACAGGGTCCTGGAGTACACTTCTACATTACTGCAGCAAGATGAGAAGTTATTAAGTTACTCTTTAAGCACATTATTTTTAATCCATTGTGTTCATCATGTGGTTTGAAAATAAAAAAAATGCTCAACACTGACCTAAATGTGCAGCACATGAAACCGCTGCTATTCTGACCTAAGAGGACCGAAAACCAGCTGCTGAAATGACATTGTTTAGTATTTAAACTGGACGTATGGGCTCATAACAATAGCTAAGCTGCACAGAAACCCATTCTCTAAAAGCTCTCATGTAGGTAAATGAAAGTTTTGAGGACTGGTTTGTCTCTACAGGGATTGAAGACTTTACATTTTAAGGAACAGGTGAATCACTACTTCTTTAAAATGGTTTCTACTGACCATAGGTATTGGTTAAAAATAAAATGCCAGGACAATGCAGAAGTAGCCCTTTCCACTATGATGATTGAAAAAAAAGAAAAAGAAAAACGGTCAGCTATTTCTCTACTACCAGTAATGAGTCAGAGGGAGTTGTCTTGAGATGTTCTTTATGGCCACATGTCACCGTCCTTGGAAAACATCAGCATCTTTTTAAACCCCATTTTATACTATTTTATCACACGGTCACATTTAAAACTTGAAGTATTTTCCCTCCATTTTCCTACAACTGTCCCACACTCAGTGAACGTACACTGATCTCGTGCTAATCACACAGACGAGTAATGAAGCTGCACGACACTATCCACATTTCCTCCGCATGTTTTTGATCTGTTTAAAAAGGGGATGCCCTATTCCCCCATCTGTTGCGGATAGACTATGACATTTCAAAATGATTAACATTTAAATGTCAAAATAACCAAATATCTACAAACTGTCCAAATCTCAGAGGGATTTTTTTTGTTTGATAGATACAAAACAAGTTTTTTTTTTGTTTTTGTTTTTTGAGAAATTGTAATTGTCGAGGTGATCAACAGAGCTCTCTGCAAAATGGAAGACATGATATTCACGCAGCTCCCATGTGAAGGGACTGACTCACACAGAAATGAGATCTTAAAACAGATATGTAAATGAAACCTGCGATTATTTAGTGGAGAAATAAAGCATTTGATCTGAATTAGATATTATCACTATCACTATTTAAATGTAGATACAGTAATACTTAAAGAGGCAAGAGTGAGAAACTCTTGACTTGACTCTGAACGCAGATTAAAATGAATAACTTAGTGTCAGATGTGTGGTAAGATTTGAACCTCAATGACTATATATTCATAGTTTATATCATACTTGACGCTTTATAGGAAACTTATTGTTTAATTCCATTTAATTGTTACAATATGTTTTGCAGAACTCTTTTATCCCCTGCAGCTGACAACAAATGTGGAGACGATGAGCAAAAACATGGGCCGTAAGACTGAGAAAATCCCCAGCTATTCATTTCAGACTTTCACTGACATAAACATACGAGGTTGAGGTGAGGGCAGCACAATGTAAATGAGAACGTGTAGAGAAAATATTGTGAATCCAACACAGAAAAGATTTCCTATCTGAAGTGAGTCACTATCCTGGGAACAATCTGCAAACACGTTAACTGGCACATAAGATTCCAGTCATGGTAAGAAATGGTCATTAGCTGTGTTACAAGAGTGAGGTTTTCCAGAAGAAAGGGGTAATAAATTAAGATGCACCCGGTTGTTTTTAGGGATCACAACACACTTACAGGAGTATATCTTCAATCATTTAAAGCAGAGGTGTAAAACTGACATATTTCATATATATATATATATATATATATATATATATATGAATACTGTGGGAGTTAATATTTTTATCTTTGTAGTTTCTAGATGGCGTAGGTGGGAGAGGAAATCAGCCTGAAACTGAATTCCTATCCAGAAAAGTCCAGATAACAAGTTGATTCATTTAGTAAACAAATATCAAATTACACTGACAATTTCCAGTTTCCATTACAATTTGATAAAGGCGGAGACAGAACATTTGGGAAGTATTACACATGAGATGACATATTATTGCAGGAGGACTCCAATGAAACACTACTTAAGAACTAAAATGACAAAGTTTGTTTCCTCTTGAGCAACATTCAGCAGAAATTTGTGATTTTCACAATTTAAGATCTGCATTTTGTGACGACATCCAGCAAATATGAAACTCCACATGTGATGGCCTGCCTGCCTTACATGTGAGCATATGGATCTAAAACATGGTAATTCATTTTTTTAGAGACATAAAGTCTTTAAATTTAAATATAATATGTGAAATGGAAAAAAAAACAAGTTAGCTGACAATGATGGAGGTAGACTAAGTTTAAAGAATATATTGGATATCTAGTTTTTTTATGCAGGTTTTGTCTTAATACCATAACATAAAAAAACAATCCTTTATTAAATGTAAGTGTGCAGAGTGCATCATTTGTAATTCACCTGAAGACAGATTTAACTGAAGGATGTGGGAGAAGTAAAATCAGATTTTCGTGTGAAAATGAAACCTATGCATTAGAGGTGAATTCCCCAGCTGTTGCCTCATTCCAGGAAACTGTTTGTAGATCACATACTGAGTCTGTGTATACGTACAAGTTCCTGTTAGACCTCTGAAAATCCCTGTAGGTTTTCTATGTTATTTCGAACCTTTCTAAAAATCTATGCAGCCTGTGCTCGGCCTGAGAGACACGATATGACAACACGGCTTGTTTATT